TTGTTACCTATTTATTAGCTTTAGACACCTGTCAGAATGCGGTTCCTCTATAATTGTGTGACCATAAAATTTTTAAAAAAAAAAAATTTCGGTAATTCAAGCTGGAAAGTTATACTTAAATATTTTGTTTACCTAGATTATACTTGATGCCCTTTAAAGATCGAGTATTACTAAAGAAATTAGTGTAAAGTACCTAAGTTGAACAAAGTATTTATAATATGAAAATAGCGACCAACTACAAAGCACCAAGTAGAACTAATTCATAACTTACGTAAAAAAATTTGTGGATAAATAAGCTTGCCTATGATGTTTCTTTCCTAACCCCTTAAGAACATTTAATTTATGCAATAAGTTTTATTTGTAAGCCTACTTTGCGTAGTTTTTTCTATTTAATTTATTACCTTATTCAAAAAGTTAAAAAGGAATAGGCAATTAAATATTGCTTTACACATTTAGTGGACTGCTTCGCACACACTCGAGAAATAAAGCTGTTAATTGAGTATTCTTTGCGCAAGAAAATCTAACTAGTTACCACAAATATGCGACGGTAAGATTGCCTTTTCGTTGCCAGACTTTATAAGTAGAATGCGCACTTACAAAGTAAAAAACCGAAACCGCAGCAAATAATTTTGGTACACTTAATAACTTTTATAAATATTTTATTCGTTTTCCTAATCGCTCTATATGTATAGCGTCCTAAAAGGTAAATATAGCAAACTTTTTAAAGTAATAAAAATACTTTAATCTCCATAAACTTAACTTAAATGTTCTTAACACTTATTTAGTCTAAATTTTGACGAAATAGATCGCATTGACGAGACCCTATAAAAGTTGCGAAGGCATACTACAAGCCAAGAAACACGCAAGGCACTCATCCCTTCGGGCGGTATGGATGTACGCTGCGGACACTGGCAATGAAAAACGCACGAAGCGAACTTTATTGATGGTGTTAGTTCATATACCGAGGTGTGATTGACAAAAGCTTTTGGAATTAAAGACGGTTTTCAATCTTCAGTTTAGGGTGAAAGAGCTCCGAAAGAGTAATCGAGTGGCACAGTGCCAACGCTGTCAGGTATTAAGACAGGGTGCAAGTTTTTTCTCTGCAGCTCCCCATGCTTAATCATAGCGAGGGCCTTTGACTGCTCGGTGCACAAAAGCACGAAAAAAGTTCTGCAAGTGATGCTAATTGTGGTGAAGCGCATACTATCAATTACCGTGACTGCAAACATTACCTCAAAGACCTATGTTACCCAACCAAACTGCTCTATTAACACATCGAAAACAGACCCCTAACGCTGTAACTCCAACAATTTCTTATGCCACTAGCTTGGCCGCAAAGACAACTTCTCAGACGTCCCCCTCCCCCCACCTCCCCTCCATAACCGGAAGCAACTCCTCGACAACTGCTCTCAATACCGACGACAATAATGTCTACATTGGCGGAGACGGTGAAGGGTCTGGAATCCGTTTGCAATGGTTTTTTAGATTGAAAGCGCTTCGTCATATCCGTCTTCTGTTCTGGAACGCAGATGGTGTTCTACATAGGAAACAAGGATGCAGGAATTGCTGTAATACGAAAGAATTGATCTGTGTGCTATTAGTAAAACTCATCTCCTTCTCAATGTCGAATTCAATCTTTGCAACTTTTTGACGAACCTCCGGACCGCCTTAATAGGGGCGGTGGAGGCGCAGCTATTTTGGTCAGACGAAACATTCAACACTGTCAACACATTGTGATAACTTTCTCGGCCCTACAAAGCATTAAGGCGGTTAGAGTATCCCTCCACTTAACCAGCCAGGGTGTCGGTAATTGCAGCTTACAAGTCCTCTAACTGACCACTTATTACCTCAAATCTTGATCCCCTTTTAAAAAGTTGTTCCTCAGTTGTCGAATGTAGGGGCCTTAACAGCAAGCAGCTCGTTTGGAACAGCAGTGTCAATAACTCAAACGGCCGAATTCCGAATCTTACGCTGCCAAGGTGCGGACTGAGAGTTTTTAGGACCACAGTACCCAACGCACCTGGCGAAGACAGGGGTATCAGATGTATCAGATATCGCGTTTTAAAAAATATTCAGATTTTAACGGCAACGGAAGCTCATTACGCACTCTCGTTGGAACTGCCAGTTCTGCTTGATTTGGACGGCCAAAAGGAGTTACTGAGAACATAAACCAGAACTTTTATGAACTGGGCTCAATTTTCTGAGACTCTTAATATAACCTTTTCGACATCGCCCGCCTTTCTCAGGACGCCCACCTCACTTGGCGATGCTGTTGCTGAATTCCAGGGCCCTTTGAACAGTCGTACCACACCGCCAGTACAAGTGGTTTTCGCCCAACTGCTTGCCTGATGAATTGAAGGTCCTAATTTTCTAAGGACGACACCTTATTCGAGTGACCACGGTGCCACAACGCCCCGAAGATAAATTGCGCTTAATAGACTACAGCATTATGAAAGAGCTGTTGGCATACCTCACCGATTGTGGGAGGCAAAGTTAAGTAATATATCGGATAATAATGCTAATGGTCGCGTCTCTTACTGAGAGTTTATTAAGAAATGAAAAAAACCGATTTCTTTTACCACTACCTACTATGCAAGACGGCAATTTGATGGCAGAAAAGGATGCTGACAAAGCGGCACTTTTCGCTGATCTTCTTGCTAATCAACGTGTGCCACCTGCTTATTTAGTTGCTTATGAATGGGTATTAACCCACCTCGGAGGAATAGCCCGTAACTGAGGCTAAGCGTCTAATAGATTAGTTTTCCTTGTTTCATTATTCCTTTTAACGAGGGGAAACTATATTGATTTCATGGGCTAGTTTAGAATACAATATGCATAAAATACTCGCCCATCTAAGGGTAAAACGGGAGCTATATTTATTATACATAAATTAATTAACACAATAAATTATGTGCCAATCTATTTTATATGCATTTAATAAATAAAAGTGCTTTGTGAACCAACCTTTTTTGATAATGCCGGGGCACAGTGAGCAAATCACCATAGGCGAAATTACAGAGATTTATTAACTCTCTACCGAGACGAAAGACGCCTGACTTCGACGGTATCACCAACGTAATGTTAAAGCAATTATCGGTGGTGGTGGTGGAAAGCCTGTGCTGCCTCATCAACTCAACGATGGCTCTCGGAACCTTCCCATTGAGCTGGAAGACAACAACTATCTTGTGTTCCCGAAGACACCACAATCAGCATCTACGCCAAGCGAATACAACCCTTTCAGTCTCCTGTCAGCCGTTGGCAAAATAGCTGAGGCGGCCGTACTGCGCAGCTTGGAAGCATTTATTGACGCAAATCATGCCCTACCAGGTTTTTAACTTGGATTTCGACAAGGACACTCCATGACTTAACAACTTCTTCACCTGACAGAGAAGACCATCTGTGTCTTCATTTTTCAGAAGGCGTCAGGTGCCGTCTTTCTCGATGTCGCAAAGCGTTTGATCAAGTTCGGCGCATGGGCTTGATTCACAAATTGCGTGCCATAGCCCTCCCTACTTTTTTTTTAACATGGATAAAACGCATCTTTAATATATGTGGGCAATGCGCACTCATTCCTGAGATCACTTACAGTCGGAGGTCTCACAAAGATCTATAGAATCAACCCCTATTCTTTGCACTTTATGTGCGCGACGTGCCACAGCCTGACGATTCCCCAACGCGGATTGCCTTTAATACGGTTGATACGGCCCTATACTTTTCGTCAAGATCACCTGCCTTATTGCGCCAGCATCTGCAGTACTACTTAGTGACGTTTGCCAACTGGTGTCGCGTTTAAAAAATTATTATTTTTAATAAGGAAAAGAGAAAAGCCCTTTTTATTACAAGGAAGCGCACTGCACTACTACCGCCGCTAACCTCTGAAAATAAGGTAATTCCTTGGTGTTCTGGGGCGAAATACCTGGGGGTCTTTATCGACAATAAGCTCTCAGGCTGCCGTACGTAAACTATATATCACCGCGAAGGTTAAGGCGACACGCTGAAATTTTTTACCCTTTACTTTGTGCCCGAAGCAAACTCGCTGCACGACAAACGACGCTTGTATTTGTTGTGCATCCGATTGATCATAAAATACGCGTCTACTGTCTCAACCTTCGGCTCATTGGCAATAGTCTCTTCGCTTCACGTGAGACGAAATGAGCTGCTACGCCTTATGACGGGCACGCCGTAGTTTGTTTGCAACGATCCCACACATAAGAACCTCCAGCTTGGACCTCTGGGTAACGTTTTTCGACGCAACGCTCAATCAGCACACCAATCGATTACTGACATAGGAGGCCAACTACTAAAATCTGGGCAGGCTCACGTTATCGCCAAAAGCGCAGTGGACTCCAAATATATATACGGGTTAGGGTTAGAATAATTTTTTTTAATATATATATGATTGCTTTAACAAAAGCTTAAAGCTAATGTGTACGCTATCACCCTGTCGAGAACTCGTAAATAGGGTATTTTCTTTTATGACCCGATCGAGCACCAGGAAATATCATTGAAAAAAAAAAAGCCAAACAAACCTGTTTTGCAAACATTTTAATGCGGGTAAGCTCTTTAATAATAGCCACTGTAATATTACTTTCGGTGACAGTGGAATTCACCTTAGCTCCTGGCAAGTTTCACCTGATCCCAGCGGCAGATACAAAAACTATATCGAGTTTATTTTGCTATGCTTGTTAAAGGAGAGGAGCGTGATATGAAACTGAAGTTCTGAATTGAAATTAAGCACGCCACTTTACGACACAGCAGCTAACGACCCTTAGCAAAGGAACCCAAACAATATAAAAGCCACGAAAAAAGTCTTAATTTGTGCTCTAAACCTCTTAGATTATTGTAACTTATTTCACACTTTCAGGTCAATTATATTAAACTATAAACAGTTGCGATTTTACCGAGCAAATCTTTCCACCAAACATTATAATCCAAAAGAAATTAAAGCAATCAACTTAATTTTTGTCTTACAAATTACTTATATTAAAATCTTTCCATCATTTCCTACTAAAAAATTAATTTATTGATATTGAAAAAACTTCAGAGCTGAACTACACGGCCATTTTTAACTTGATAGCGCTTTGGGGGTAGTAATTCGTCAATTCAAAATCTTCGAATTTAAATTCTTCAATATCAGTCACCTACTTTTTATAAAGGGAAATAAAAAATTTTAAGAATAAAGTATTTCTAATAGAAAGCATATATTTTATTCTGTTCCAAAATATATAAACATCACTTTTGCAGGGTATGTTAACTTAATAGTAATAATTCTCATAAAAATGCGCCTAAATACCTTGAAAACCCCCACAAACCCAATTTTAATTAAAAATGCGAACTGAAAAGGAGAACCTGCCGCTTAATAAACAACCGCGGAAACTTCGAAGGGACTCGCGTGAGCTGTTCTTTAAGAGGCTCCACGTGGTTCAGGTAAACATGTGCGTCGCCCAAAACATGTATAAATTCACCGGGTTGTAACTTTTAACACATAATTATTAATTCAGAGTATGAGCTTACAAAATATAACATATGTAGCTTTTTTTTTAAAAAAATTTCTTTTAACGAAAGTATTTTTAAACAATAAGATTGTTGTCGGCATCCTTAATACTTAATAGTAAAATTTCTTTGTAAAGATTAGTTTATTACTTTGGTTGTTTTAATTATTAGTTAAATTTTAAGATTTTATTGTTAAAAAATGTTTTCCACTTAATATAATAGAATATAACTTTTTTAAATGTAATTTATAGGGTTTCAGTAAGGTCCCTTTAGTAAAAGAATTTATAATCGTTATTTAGTCGGTTTTATTAATATTTAGCAGTAAGAATTCTTAATAAAGTTTGGTTTATTACTTTAATTGCTAAGTTTTTAATAAAATTTATGAATCTGTTGTTAAATGATGCATAAAACTAGAAAGAAACAATTAAAAAGAATTTTATCGGCGGTCTTCTTTTTTGAATTTATATTTTCCGCTTCACTTAAGAATTTTTGTTTTTCAGCATAATTTACTACCCACCTCTAAAGATGATTCAAAATTTTTATCAAAGCGTTGCTAAAAGGCGTATAGGGATTAATGCTAACGCGACTGCTTTACTATTTTTTTTATTTTTACTTACAAGAAAATTATTTACAGCATACCAAAATATACTTTCTTTTAACTACTAAATTTTTCTATAAGGCTCGCTTACGGGAAGATTTACGACTTTAATTATAAGCGCAAGGCTTTTTCTAACTTCCAACCTACCCTAGTCACGTGGGCTATCATGCACGTGAGTAGCGAGTACGACGCAATATTGAAGGGAACGCCGAGGCCCATGTCACACGAGCGCTGGTACCTTTAGAAAAATAAAGTTTTAAAAAATATTCCATATCATTTTTGATAAATTTAGTATAAATCTAATTATAATAACGTTCTTATAATATTATAATAATTATAGATAGTTCAAAAAGAAAACTAATTATTATAATATTTAAGAAAGCCAAAAAGAAGTGCTAAATATTAGTTTATTAGTAAAGCGCTTGGAGAATGCTGGTATACAAAAATACACGTGCATAACTTGTAAATTGCGGAGTAATAGTTAATTAAGAAATCTGCAATACCCGCAAAGACTGTTATAGCCACTACTAATTTTTTTATAGAAGTAGCAAATTTTAATTAACTAAAAAAAATTAATTTAAAGCGCCCACTGAAGAAAAACATAAAGAACAATAAATTAAAACATCTGGCAAGAAAGCTCTCCATTGCAAACATAAAATTGAGCTAGTAGATGGCAAGGCGGGAGGGCCATCTTGCAAAGGTCTACATTAAAAAAAGGGGAAAAAAGTAAACATTTTAGTAAAAGTTTCCAGCGGAAATATTCTAGCCCACCAGGAGGATTCCAAGCAGATATAATCATGCGCCGATCGTCGGGATTATTTTTGATAGTTGTGATTATTTTCTTTAATTGGTCAACGCCTTCACCTGGTCGGCAACAGAACTTTTTTAGTTAGAAACAAAATTAAAAAAAAATTATAAAATTTAATATAAAAACTCTAAATTAATTTTCTATAACATATTAACAATAAACAATGTAACATTAAAATATTTTATACCGATAATTATACAACTTTTAGTTTCATAACATTCATAAAAATGTAAATTTTACTAATTAAAAAATCTGTTGCGAGTTTGGCGATGCACGCGGAACAGCGAAAGAATTATTATTTAAACTTAAACTATTATTTATAAATTAATAATAAGAAAAATACCAGAATAATCATGATGCATATCTTTATAGGTAGCGCCGAAATGACGCCACTGAAATCCATACACCGGCCCTAAATCTCCCTCCTATAAATAATAATTATAGATATATATAAATAAAAATATACAAATTAACTTCTCTTCAAATTTATATAAAATTATTCTATAAGATTTATTTATAATTATTATAATTAGTTATATATAAAAAAGTATGTATATAACTGCACACCTCACGATGGTCGAGTCCTATAGACTGAAGAAATTGCTTTGAGCCATTATCATCCCAAATGTGAACCCCTTTTTCGCTTAATTCTTTGGCGTTAGTATTTCCTTTTATAAACCACAAAAGTTCCTTTTTTATATGAAAATATTATATTTTAAATCTGTCTAAAGTAAAACTAATTACGTATTATAAAATAAGGAAGAATACATTGGACCACTAAAAAACCAAAGCTATACTTCTCAATTCCAGGTTGTTTATGTATAATTATTTTTTTCGCTTACAAGCATGCAGAAAGATAAAAAAAAGTATATACAATATAATATCTTAACCTCAACGACGCCTCTCCAGAAAACTCTTTTCGTAGTTAACAAGGGAAAGTTTTTATTTCTCAAAGAAAACCTCATCTGTTCTCCAAATATAGACAAAGTCCCTATAAAACAGTAAATATTGCAATATAAAACTTAAAGTAATGGTCATTTAACCATTTTTATAAATATTGTAATGTGTAGTAAAATAAATTAATACAGAAATCGAGGGAGATTTTAATTAATTGTGTAGTACCTGTCCCAGTTCGATCAGTTTTCAGGTTACCTTTAGTAATTATTTTTTTACAAAGGTCAAGATACTGCTTTTCTTCAGCATTATTATCACTTCTTAGTATTTTTTGAGTTATGGGACTCTGCAACCCCATCCCGGAATAGTTATTGTTTCAAGAGTTTCGTAAAACCAATCGTTAGTAGCGTGCCTTATTAGAAACTTCTGGGTATGCAGTCGGAAGGCTAGAGCACCTTAAATTTACAATACACACTGCCAGACTTTTGGGTGATAACGGCGACGAATCCATTTTATACTATATATATTTAACTTTCCACTATGCTTAATATAGAAGTCTTGTGTTTACTAGTACGTCGTACCAAAGCACTTTTTAATAATAAAAACTATACAATAATTATTAGACCCAAAGTAATTAATTATAAGGATTCAAAACATTTGCTAAAATACATTCATTATTGGTATTTTCGTGGGTAATAATAAAGATAAATGGAACACAGATCTATGTGATATTCTAATTTAGAATTGAGTAAAGTTTATGTCGAATTAATTTTATATATAACATTTTTATATAATTAAGGCAATATTATGCATTCATGTTTTAATAAAACAACTTAATACTCAAAAGTTTGCGAAGTTTTAATAATTATAAGCACAGGTATCAGTCTATTATACGGTGCCGCGAAGTTTGAAAAGATCATATATTTTGCTCTAGCTATTTTTAAATTAAACAATTATATTTTACTTTTCAACTCATATCTATAGCTTCGTTTTTCTTTTAATTTACAACAAAAAATTTTTATGAAGCACTAATTTTCAACTGCACCTATAAATACGCTTTAAAAACATATATTCTGGTCTATTTTCAAACCGATAATATAAATGGGACTAAATAATTAAACTTTTCAGCTGAAACCTGGGTTTAACCTTCCTTCTAGTAATTTATAAAAAATTTATGGCGGTGAGGTGTTTTACCTAACTATCATAGACTACCAGCGTCGGCGGTAACAAATTCCATGACCTAAACCAGAGTTTCAACGACAATTTCAGTTTTGGTGTGGCGAATTTACGTTAACCTGATACATCGTACACGGCATACATAAAAAAAAATTTTTTTAATAAGCTATTAACCTAAATATTACAGCCTTATACAGGTTATTAGATTGACGTATCGTCAACAAGATACCACTATGGCTATAAACCATTTAAGTGGTCTTGCAATCTCAGCGCTGCCGTTTAACCTCTTTCTAAAGAATTTAAAAAGGATAATGTTGTGAAGTCTAATACGTCGCAGCCTCCATTAGGCTTAGTGATTTTGCCCACGCAGCAATGTCGAAAGCTGCTAATCTAATAACATTTCTAGAGGCGCGCAATGTATAGTTAAAATCATAATTTGGGTATAAATTCGGCCACTTTATGACAGCTATTGCGTTTTTAAGGGGGGACAATGCAAGACTATGATAAAACCAAAAAAGGCATCTTTTTAGGATTTAAGGAAGTCTTCCTTTTAGAATTGTATAATTATTTTGTTAAAAGATACACACTCTCGATACTTGGCGCGCGGTTTGATGTATTTGCGTTCTCCTCAAAGCAGGACACACAAAACTCAAAATAGCTGAGAGCTTTGGAGCTACCTATTGTAATCTACAGCAAAAAAAATTTATTAAGTAAAGGCAACAAAGGATGAAATGCACTAGTAAAAAAAAAATAAGCGACTTTCTAGTATATGTCAAGTCAATTTAATAATTTACCAATGCAGATTAACTAATTTGACTTAGCTGTGACATATGAACGTTTCTTTAACCAAAAAAATTGAGAAAAAAGTAATTAATGAGTCCCAAAAATATATTAAAAAAAAGTTTTGCTTATGAGGTTAAAATGAACGCAATTAGAAAACAAGCCAAGGTGTTAAATATTTTTAAATATTTATATAACTAAAAGTAAAAACCAATAAGTTTGTTAAAAAACACTATATAAAAAGTATAATAAATCTAGCGGTCATATACTCTCGGCTTTAAGGGTGACTCGCGTATAAAAAGTCGCTGGCTAGATTAGTTGATTAGTATTTACGAGGGCGAGGTTAAATACGCGCCCGTCAAAGACCGATAAAGAGAATCGCGTCGATGGTAGTCTAACTCACGACCTTAAGCATGCGCGTCAATGCCCTGAGAACTCTCGATGCAGGGGTGACGGTTTTACGTATTTAGCCCGTAAGGTTGCACTCATCGAGTGCATGTAGCAGTGAACTTTAGCCAAGTATGTTAAATGACTAAAAGTGTTAATCCTTTGCACGTATACAAAAAAATTCTTAAACTACATCTAACTTTACCGAAGGGCTTACGGCGATTCGGTTAAAAATTTTAATAGCTAAATATAAAATATTGTTTGCTGGGTTTTTTTGGTTTAATCTTTGATTTATTTAAGGTAATGAATTTGTTCGCTCAGAGTTTAAACAGCATAAGCAGGCAAAGGATGAACAGTTAAAAGAATTTCTTGGAACTTGGAAAGTAATTTTATTTAATATTATTTAGTTATAGTTTATACTATTTCCATATTATAACCGTTCTTCGTTATATTATTTTTATTTAGAGATACTTGGAAAATTTGCAGTTTGATGTCGACCTTTACAAGTCAAATCTTAAGAATAACTAAATTTTGATATTTGTAGAGAACTGAGCTTAGCTATAACAAAAAAGTTCCTTATAAGATCAGAGTTATTAAACCTTTCCTTTTTGCTTCCGTAATTATTTATATCCCCAAGATCGGTAAAAAAGATTTTTATAACTGCGTTACAAAGGTTTAAAAAGATTGTTAATTTATAGTTACAGCAAAAAAAAATAGTTTAATCTTAAGAGTTTTATAGGATAATCAAGGAACTATTACAAATTCAATGTTACTTCTATTAAAGTCTGGTAAATGCATGATTTTCGACATTTCAAATCTCTAGAAGTCTGCTTAGCAAGTACCAATTATGTCTTACTTTCTTCCTCTTCTACCAAAACAATCTTATTACATTTTTAGCACTATCATATTTTATTAAAGTAAAGAAAATCTTAAGATCTTTTCCCTTTTGATAATTTTATTATTACCAAGTTATATAAATTTCTTTTACGTATGGGTATACGGCGTAATTACTTATATTTTATGAAGCTTGGTGCCTCCCCTGCCGTAGTGCTGCTTTCTAGTTTTGCTGTAAACATTAGTAAAGCTCTTGATATTGTTCTTTTCTTAAAACTAAAGTTTTAGTCTAAAGTAGCCATTAAAATTGTCAGAGTATTACAAAGTCTTAAATAGTTTTTGCTTGTTCTAAAACTACTAATAATAAGATTTTACTTTACGTTTATTTACGTGCATAGTGTATAGAATATATTTACTATTGTTAATTACAAAAGCTAACTTTATATGAAGCTTACAGCTTTAAAAACCATGTGCTTTCGAGACTAAAGAGTTCTTGTTTATAGAAGTCTTAACAAAAGAACTGGGGGTGGCAAAAGCCGTGTAAAACAATCACTTGTACATCTTCGAATATATAATATTTATAGCAATGCTAAATTTAGTGTTCAATACTTTTGAACACGCATCCACTTAAAAAATCTATTTTCAAAAGTACACGAATTCAGAATTTTTAAGGATCAGGTTTATTCAACAGAGTTTTTAGAAAAAATTCGTTCCCTTTTAGCTCTTTATTCGTTTTAACGAACCAAGATGATATCAAGTGCTTCTAAACAATTTGGGGTCAGCAGGGTTCAAATTTTGTTACAAAGGCTTCTTCTTTTACTAATTCTGCTAAAGGAATCACCAACGTTGTACGTCATAAATTTTGTTAAGGAATACATTTTATCTTAGGCTTACAACTAATGAAATGTATTCTTTCAGTGTTTATTTTAAAAAGGCGCCAATAAAACTACTTTTTTGTCTTACAAAATATATAGCACACTTAAAAATAAATATATGCAAGTTCAGTATTTCTCTTAAAGATAAAACTTAAATGGTAATGCTGCCTCTAAATGCTAAATTTATTTTTGGTCAATGTTATACGAACCCATTGCACGGAGTTAAACTGCCTGCTTTAGCAAAAAAAATTTTTTTTTAAAATCTGTAAAAATATACTACAAAATAGCTTAAAGCCACAAACGCAAGGATGTAATCCCTCTCGACAGAAAGCTAAAAATTTTGCTTTAAACTATATTTTAATTGATTTTTATTGTGTCGAAGTTGAAAAGTACGGGAATTGTATATATATGTAAATTTAATAAACTTTATACGAGCCGAAAAATGACTTTACTAAACCTATTGTGAGGCGCTTTAGCACCTCTATGAAAAGAATTTTCAAGTCACATGTAGATTTTTTAAGAGAAATAGATTAAAAATGAAATTGTGATTTAGCATAAGGAATTGAGCGTCCTTCTGTACTCGTTAATTAGTGTTAATCTGGTTGCTAAGGATTAATACTTAATTATTAAACAACTTTTGTTGCGGTTAATAAATGTGTTTAGTAAACCATATATGTTATAAAAATTTAACATAAATATAGGTAAAAAGTTTGCTTGATTTATTTATAAATCGGATGTGTAGTAACCACATTAACCATTAACCGTATAAAATTACAATATTAACCATTTTCAAAGTTTATATTTATAATATTATATTACAATTAACACCTACATAATAAAACTTAGATTACTATAGCTAGCTATAAAAAGTTGATTAACAACATAACCTCAAAATACAGGAATACGTATTGGGTTAATAAACTAATATCATAAGGCAATATGTTTTTTAATGTTTTCATTTTTTGAAGACCATGGATTTAATAACATAAGAAAGGACCTAATAAAGATTAATTTCTAATAAAAAATAGTCCGAAGTGTTCCACTTTGCGACACGGTGGACTAATAACTAATTTCTTAACAGCACAATATCTGCTTGCCATGTTTAAAAATATAAATTTATTGTTTCTCTGGTTGTGTAAGAGAGTAACTGATGTTTATATATGCTCAGATGCATTTAGATTCTGGCTAAGAAAGCATTCTACGCGTACATTTACCTTTTAAAAATTTATTTCGTAATGGATATTTCCTTCAATTTCCCTCCATTGGATATGTTGGTAACATATGTAAATATGTATGGGCCCATGCCATTGATGTCTGCCTTCCCTCATCGAGGGTGGAGGGCTGATTGTAAATAATATAAAAATACAGTTATTGCACACACTCGCGGTTCAATTCATAACAATAGAATGAGGTCTAAATACGAGGTCTTATATTGGGAATAAAACAAACATAATGATAGCTGGGCCTCTGGGCTACTTTTATATGTTAATCTTAGGAATACAGTTTGGCATTCAACCCCTATTAATAAAATCTTTTATTTCTCCGAACATTGAAAAGAATTTATTGTGTTCGTAAACGAATTAATAAAAATTATAATTTCCTTGACGCTACTCTGGGCGGATAGTAACCACCTTTTATATTCCTACTAAACTTTTAGCCTACTTCATTCAACTCGCAATAATAGATTCTCTAAAACCTGTGCTCGCTAAATGGAGCCTAACTGAATCTTCCAAAATTTCTTTGCTTCCTGCTATCATATACTCTCTTCAAAATTATTGTCTGCAGCATGCATACCAGAATCTTGATCCTCTAACCTTTAATCTTATCAATCAGTTCAAAACACTTTTTACCGTATTGAAATACTATCTTTTGTGTATAACAATATTTATTATCTCCTTACATAGGCATTGTTTGTTTATATTTTCTTAGGAAAACGTCAAACGAGGACTTAAATATTTGCACTTGTCTTTCTGACAGTCTCTTGCTACCTCGCTTTAACAGCTGAAAACAATTTTAGAAGAGTCGACAAACATTATTCTATAAATATCGACTATATTTTTAAAGGGTAAAAGTTTTATTGTTTCTTTCTAAGTAAAATAAATAAAAATTCTAACAAACGCAATTTAATTTACTCTGATGGTTTAGGCTAGTCCCTAATATTATATCTACTATACTATCCGGTTTGGCTGGTGCGCTTTGCCAATATGCCTTGCAAGGTAACCAAACTTTTATTTAAACAAATTTTTTTTTATAATTCAGTGTTTCCCCAAATAGGAAAAAGGAAAAATTGAAATCTCTTCACTTTATAATCCTCTGTTTTTCAGAGCTGATAATGCTTTTTTTCTTAACCTTAACCTCTCAAGGTTTAGAATTTTTTTCAAAAAAATAAATTTATATAATAATAAAACATGAGGCTAGAAATTTAGTATTAAATTATATTGAACGAGTATATAAAAATCTATATAAATTCAAATATTTTTTCCTTGCTAAGGAATGCACGAAGGGAATTTTAAAAAGTGGACTGTTTGGTCGTGACTAACAGTAGCAGTTAATGCTTTCGGTGGACACGCAATGGGAAAGGTCACCCAACACGCCGGCAGCGTTAAAAAGGGCTATTGCGTTGCTGAAGGTATTCGATTCTTCATTTTAAATTTTAAACAAAATTTTCGTTTTAATGATTAATTTTAATTTTCAATTTTATGAATTTTTCTTTACTTCCACTTAACTGATTTCTATTGTATTTAATATAAACAGGGATTCTGTTAACTGCTTTTTTGGAATGGGTGTTCGGTCATAGAACTTTTACGCTAAGGCTGGTTCTAGCTTTTATTCTAGCGCCCGAAGGGGCCTCCTTGAACACTATTTATAGCGGGGATGGCAGCGAATCACCAAAAAGTTAATTTTGGGGAGTAAAAATATAAGCCTGTACAGAATTACTTGTTTCAAAACTTAAACTTATAGAAATTAAGCTAGATTTAAAAAAAGTTTTAGTAAAATAGAAAAATTGTTTATTACAAGATACATATATTATTAAAAAAGCTAAAAGAAAAATTTAAATTTTTATAAATTATAAATTTAATATAACCTTTAATTATTTGTGCTACTAAATATATCTTTTATAAAAGTTACTTTTAAAAAAAATCTTCACAGCAAAGAAAATCTGATTTTACTTATAACACAGTAAATTTTACGCAAGGATAACAGCATCACCCTCCCCACTATTTAGAAATTAATAGAGAAAAAAAACTTTTATTATTATTGTTATTCAAAAACTTCTGAATTTAAAAACACAAAAGTTAATTTAAAATTTTTTAAAAAATTTGAACTTAAATTTATATTTTTATATAAAATTAAAAAAAAGTGAATCGCATAGGATATGAGTTATTCTTGTAAGTAAAGCAAAACTATGTAAATTCAAAATTAAGTAAACATCATAATAGTATTTATAATATATATAAGTGACAAAGAAAATTTTTTAAAAGAAATCATGAAAAATGAAATTGCTGTTTTTAAAAATACTTTTATATATTGACAAACACTTTAATGAAAATATTAATAGGTAATTATAAAATTTAATAAATGTTAGACTGGGGAGATGGGCGTGCAAATACGTCAAACATTTTAATCTGAAAATATTTTAACAATTAAATTCATAGCCCATCAATTTTTGAAAAAAATACTTCAACATTTTTTTTTGCGTTTCGCTCTTTCCTTCTTTCCCAACTAAAGAAATAAAAATATATAAAAATTGGAAAATTATTTTTATGATTTTATTTTTAATTACAAGCGTAAAAAGTAAATTTTTTTAGAAACAATTTAAATCAGTAAAGTTTAAAATTTTACTAAAGTATTTAAAAAAATCTGAAAAGAAAGAAAGAAGAACAACTTCCAAGCTTAAAAAGTTAATTCTTTTATAAAATAAATTTTAAAAAACAAGTAAAATTATATTTTTTAAAGTACACACGAATTCTAATAGTAAATAATTAAAAAGTACAAAAGCGCGAATAATTTATAAAAGATAATTTAGAATTTCTCTTTAAAATAAATGAAAATAATATAAAAAAGGTGAAAAAGAACAAAACTTATAACAAAATAGATATCTAATAAAATTAAATATATTTAGTAAAATAAATGTATATTATACAAATAATTTTTTCTGAAAACCGAGAAATATTATAAAAAAGGTCGAATTAAAAAATATAACATGACATATAAAAGAAAAGAGGGAGTATTAAACAAGGAAAATATTGAATAAAAATATAATAAAAATTTTAAGTTAAAAAGTCTGAATAATTTTTACAAATAATAAAACATTTACAATACGAGGGGGGTTTGTAGATATTAGAGTATATATAATTTTTAAAATTCATAATAATAAAAAAGGCGGGAAATTTTGCTAGAAAAATAGTGTATAGAATAATTTTGTGTAGGAATAATAAAGAAGATAAAAGGGTGGGTTAATTTCGCAGGAGATAGAAAAAAAAATTCTCATAAAATGCTAATTAAAAAATGGAAAAGGCGGGATAATTATGATTGATTATCTAAAAAAGATAATAAATAAATAAATTTTAATTTATATAATTAAAATGATAGGAAGGTGAAAGGTGATATAAATTTATCAATAAATAAAATATTCATTATTGAAATAAAAAAGTTCAAGAACAATATAAAAAAATAATGAATTTCAGTGAAAGATATAGTTTATATATACAAAGACTACAAATAAAATGGTGGTAAAAAATAGTAATAAGAAAAAAAATAGAAATCTACAATCAAAATTTCTAATAAAAATCATTGCGGCGGTAAAAAGTTTCAAAAAAATTAATGAAAAAAGTTGCCTTAATACTTTTATTAAGACTAAAAAATATCAAAATAGATAAGTCTTTATTATAATATAAATAACAGTATTATTAAAAAATAACCAAAAGCTCAGGTTAATAATTCCCAATTAAAAAAATAATTTTTATTTAAATATAAAATGTTAATATAATAAATAATACAAACTTTTTGTAAAATAAAAGTAGTAGAAAAATTATAATATAAAATATTTATTAAAAAATTGGACTAATAAAAATTATATATAAACTACTATAAAAGAATTTATAATAAATATAATAAAATAATAAAACAAAGTATCAATAGAATAATGCTTGATAGAATTTATTAATAAGTAAAAAATTAATGAAATATAGAAATGAAGTAATAGCTTATAAAGTTTTAATTAAGAAATTTAAAAAATTAAAACAAAGTATCAATAGAGTAATGCTTTATAGAATTTATTAATAAATAAAAAATTAATGAAATATAGAAATGAAGTAGTAGTTTATAAGGTTTTAATAAAAAAATTAAAACCTTTTATTCTTTTATTACTGTAAAACTTAATAAAAGTTTCAAATTTATTTTTACCTAATTTATTAATAAAGTTAAAAAGTTTATTACAACTCTTTTATAAAGCGATAAAAAAAGTTTTATTCTAAAAAATATTTATTTTCTATAAGTAATAAAAAAAGATAAAAAAAAGTAACTTAACTATGAATTTTCTATATATAAAAAAAGTGACAATTAGGATATTATTTCTAATTTTTATAAACAATAATAAAAGTTTTTCATAACAAACTATTCATAAAGCAATAATTATAATCAAAAAGCTTTTTTTAAAAAAAATATTAAAAACTAATAAATAGATTTATCTTAATAAGAGGTTTCTATAAATATAACAATAATAAAAGTTATGCTTAAGAGCGAATGTGGGAGAGAGAAAATTCTCCAACGTGTATTTTTTGAATATGAGAAAGTAAAGACTTTTCATACGCAAAAGTCCTATAATAATTATTTTAAAGTCATTTTCGCTATTAAGCATATAAATATAATTAAACTTTTTACGAAAACTAATATTTACGAAATTATTTTCTTTTACCAAAAAAATTGATTAAAATTTTATAAAAAATAAAAAAAAAGTATTAAAAATTAAAAAATATTGAGTATAATAATTCATTAATTATCAAAAAAAGACTTATTTTTGAGGGTATGAATTATATTTAAAATTTCCAAGAAAATTAATTTAAATGAATTTATTTTTTTTAATAAACAGTTTTAAAAACGCTATAAAATTTAATTTATAATTTATATTTTTTAAAAATAAAAAATAAAAATACTTGGTGCAGCGGTTATAAAACAGGAAAACCATTTTATGCCTTCGTGCCGAAATTCCTAAAAAAAAATAAAATACTACTTAAAGGTTTATTATTTAATAAAAATTCAATAAAAATTTTTTAAGATATTCTATAAATAATCCCTAAACAAAATAATATTAAGTTTACAGAAATTGAGAAAAGATTATCTTAAAATTTTAATAATTAATAAAGAAAAGTTTATAGAACGTTAATAAAAATATATACTATTTAATAAAAAAGTAAAAATAGGAAGGTAATTTGAATGTATTATTCGAATACATTATGATGAAGCAAAGAACTTTGTGACAAATATAATTTCCTTCATTCTTCTTTATCGCATTTACAAACAGGGCTAGTTGGAGAATGAAATTCTTTTATATGTTTTCTTAGTGAATCTTTTTTTCTTATCAGGTAAAAAATTGAAAAATTTTTTATTATAAACTATATAAGAATAAATTGTAGTAAAAAATATATACAAACGTTATAAAATAACTGTAATTATTATCAATTACAAAAAAATCGTACAAAACTTTTTTTTGTCATAAAAATCAAAAACGGGTTTTAATGAATATATTTTATTATTAGAATTATATACTTGTAGAGTTTCCCGCAGTCTCGAAAGTGACAATGAAAAATTTTGGCACAAAAATGACTCAACTGATGTTGCCCAAAAAGCGATACATTAGAAAATTTTTTGTCGAATGTTGGAAATTCACGGTAAAAATTCCTTTTCTAGTAATAATAGTTAAAAGTTAATAGCAATAAAGTAAGACTAATTTACTTGGATGTTTGTTTACAAAGTGACGTCGTAATTTGCTGTTTGTTGAAAATTCTAAAACCAATAGGTATTTATTACTTAATAAAAAAATATCAAATTAAAAGCATACTTTGAAACCTTTTAAACATTCCTCACCTTTGCAACTGTAAGCCAACTTATTAGTATGTAGAACTTAGTGTTTTCTTAGCTGTGCACGTTTAACAAAGGCTTCAGCACAACAAGAACACCTATTTATATTATAATTTTTTTTAATAAATATAAATATGATTACTAAAATATTATATAGCAAACTAAATAACAAGTCTAAACTTTATATCTCTCTCTATCCTCAAAAACGAACAGCAAATTAGTAATCATAATAAAAGATTACTTCAGTAAAACTACATTATTAAATTAATAAAGAGTTAGAAATAATTTGCTCTAGTTTTTTAACATCAATATAAAAAATTTTATTTCTAATAATATTTAACTTTGTAAGATTTCAGTCCAGCATGGGATTCCAAGTGTCTTTTTAAATGGTGCTTAACTTTGTAGCGCTGATTACAGCTTTCATAATGACTAACAAAAGGCTTAACGTCAGAGTGAGAAAGAAGATGACGTTTTTAATATTTTCTAGTAAACGAAGAACCGCAGCAATCAAAAGAACAAATATACGGGCGCTAGGAAATGGCCAAACAACAAAAGTATAGTTAATAATAATAGTTTTTATAGCTACCTCGCCAGTGTGTTTTAAATAGTGTTCTTTTAAGCGAGACAACTTTTTATACAATTTATTGCAGCCGGAAAAAGTACAATAATGCATTTCTCTCGTACATAAGATAATTAAAAACGCACCTAGAAATTAATTTAAGTTAAGGGTTACACAAGTATGTAAAAGGTTCCTTAATAAGTGGTTTCGTTTTAATATTAAATCTAACTAAAATAAATAAAAAAATCAACTTTTTTTTTAAAAAAGTTTTATATTGGCCTATCTACGAAAGAAAATTAACTAACATGAACAGGAGCTCGAGTAACAGTGTACTATATATATTTTAAAATACACTGGACTAACTGGCGTAAATCATAAGTAACGTTCTTATAATTACAGTTATAATAACGCCAAAACTATGGATTATAAAAAAATGACACTAACAAACTTATTAAATCCAAGAAACAATTGAAGATGAACTGAGGATTTACAAAACTGTAGCATTATGAAGTCTAATAAAACTTATTTTATCTTTAAAAAAATAAGTTTGATCCTTACGATTAAATTAACTTAAAGGAGACAATATAAACAAAAAGAAAAAGTATTTAAATATGCTGACCTAAATTTTTTAGTGAGGAGCTATAAAATATATAGTTAAAATGAACCGAAACGTTAGTAAATATAAAAGCACGGACAAAAAAGTATAAGTTGCTCAAAAAAAGTCAAAAAAAAAATTAAGAAATCTTTATAATAATAAGAAATGTTGAATTAATTACATCCACAAGAACAGAAGCGGAACAGGAGAGAGAGGAGAGGCCCTGCTTTGTTTCTTTTAAAATTTGTAGGTTATATAATAACTTAAATGTAAAGTTTCAACATATATTTAAGTAGGTAAATGTTTTAAATAGTTAAGGTAACTAGATAACGTTCAAGTGATATACGTCTTAATATAAAAATCTCAACTCTGCTCGCATGTGGCTAATAGATAGTTATATGTTCCGGCCATTTGCGAGCTTGACATTCCCACTCTTTTTTTTTTGTCACTTATATTGCGTTATATTATATGCTAAGTCATGTCTTTAAAAACCTATATAACTAAGAAAAAAAAGGGTATAAAAAACAATTTAAAGTTACTCTTTTTTTTTTTATAATTATTATAGCTAGTGAGCCTAAGAAAAAGAAAAAGAAAACAAAAAAGTCTATAAAATCTAAAAAGCTTATGCCATCAGAATTGAAAAGTGAGGAGGGGCCTAAAAAAAAAAGTCATCTGAAGAAAGGTATATAAGTCACTAAAATCTAAAAAAACTTTTATATTTACTTTAAATCCGTAACATTAAAGTTTCTCTCAACCTCGTTTTAGATGAAAGTGTTATAAAGAAATTTCGAGAAGATAATGTGACTTACCTTTTTATAAAATAACTGAAATTTTATTGTTAATTCATAGTTGTCGTCTCTAGGTTATAACAGTGGAGTCCGATTATTCTTATACACCAGTAGTTACTTTTAAACTTGCACAATCTTTATTTTCTAAAGAATTATTACAGGTTTCTTTATAAACCACACTCTTTTTCATCCTTCCTGGATTTTTTTATAGAATTAAAAATAATTTTTTTTAAGGGTTAATATTTTAATAGACTTGTAGAGATTTCAAAAAACCGAGCCCTATACAAGCCGAGGTGTGGCCGGTAAGCTTTACCGGAAAAGACGTTATTGGCATTGCGGTGACTGGCTCTGGTAAGACGTTGGCATTTGCTTTAACTTCTGTAAGGCGACTTCAAGGTTTGCTTTGCTACAGATTTTTAATTTTTGTATATATATAAAATTGCAATTGAAGTTTTTTCTTTTAAGCAAGAAAATCGGAGAAGAAATTTTATAAAAATAGTCCTATTGTGCTAATTCTTGCGCCAACAAGGGAGCTTGCCAGCCAGATTCATGAAGTTTTCGAAGAAATTTCTACTTATGTGAAGGACGTACGTTGTGTTTGTATCTATGGAGGTCCGCCTTTACTTTAATGCTTTCCTCTTATAATAATTTTCTTTTTCACAACTTAAAGGAGTTTCTAAGATGCAGCAAGTAGGAAGTATGAGTCAATCTTTTAACATTATGGTGGCCACTCCTGGTCGTTTATTGGGTGTTTATTCTTTTTTTTATATTTACTCGAAAATAGAAAATTAAATATTTAAACAGGATTGGTAGAATCTGGTAACATATTATTATCGAGAACGTCCATACTTGTTCTAGATGAAGTAATTATTTTCCATTGAAAATAAAAATTATTTAATTTTAAGGTAATTTTATATACAAGGCCGACAGAATGTTAGATAAAGGATTTGAGCCAGATATACGTAAAGTTATTTCCCATTTAAAAAATAAAAGACAAATTCTTATGTTTAGGTTCGTTTAAATTTTTTTTTGGCTAGATAAAAAAATTCTAATTTAATTTTCAAACATTCAGTGCAACTTGGCCTAACGAAGTTCAGCTTCTCGCTAAAGACTTTTTGCGAAATCCCGTCAAGATCACAATTGGCGGTCGAGCATTAATGGCAAACCCGTGCGTGACGCAACACGTGGAAGTCCTTCTGCCCCCACAAAAACGCCTCCGGTTTTTGCTTTAGTTTTTTTTTTTTTTTTTTTAAAGTTACGCGGCTCTTTTTTTTTTTCTGTAGACTTTTGCAACTCCTTAAAAAACTTCATACCGGGAAAAACCGTATCTTAATTTTCGTTCTTTACAAAAAAGAAGTTCCTCAAGTGGCGCAGTTCCTTCAGTCCAACGGTTATGCTGTTTGTGCGGTTCATGGTGATATGCCGCAGCCCGCCCGCACTAGCGTTAGTTTGTTATCAAAAATTTAAATTTACTTCAGATGAATTTAATTTTTTAAAATAACTTAGAAAATAAAATAATTATTAAATTAAATTAATTTTGAAGATTTTAAAAGTAAAAATTATAGTTAAAGTTGATGTAAATTTTATTTTTCTATACATAATATGAAGAACAAGGATAAGTATTATTAAAGACATTTTTTGTAGTCCGTTAACAGTTTTAAAAGAGGGAAGATCCCCATTTTAATTGCCACCGACGTGTGTTCACGTGGTCTTGACATCCCTAAAGTCGAGTTTGTAATAAACTATACATTCCCCCTGACGGTGGAAGATTATGTTCATCGCATCGGGAGGACAGGTGAGCACGCAAATATGGATTTTTTTTTTTCCTATCAAAATTCGCATTGCTTATAGGAAGAGCGGGAGAAGACGGAGTGGCCTACACTTTTTTTACAGATTATGATAAACATCTTGGAGGCGCGCTTTGCGACCTTTTAAAAAGTTTTGATAATTTAATTTTGTGTGTTTGCTTTGAAACGATTGCAGCTCTTTAAAATAAATTTGTGCGACTCTTGAAATTTTGTTAATACTATCCAATTACAGGCGCCCATCAGGAAATTCCGGCCGCTCTTGAAAAGTTTTTATATGCACCTACTAAAGCTAAACGTCATAAACTTTACGGTTTTTCTCTCGGATTTTAAATTTTTAAGCATCGTTGGATTTTTTTTTTATTGAAAGGTCATATTGTAAACGACTCGCTGCCTTTGAAAGCGCCCACAAGAATTCTGTTTGAGGACTAATCACAGCATCTACTTTTTAATAATTAATACTTTTTTTTTACTTTATGATTTTTTTACTTCAAATTTAATTAATTTATGGTTTTAGGCTCCTTTATAAGTACTGCCTTATGCTGTCGCTAACTTATAATATTGATCTAATATTGATATTTATTATATTAACGAAATACAAGTACTATAAGTCTAACAATAGTATCGATAAATGCTTAAACTTTTTATAATAGAGTTTTATAAGTAAGCTCTTATAGTAACTAGCTTAACAAATCTGTGCGAATCGTATAGTGAATCTTGCAAATACTATTTTTTTCCCCATCTTGTATATCTATAAAGTCGCTGTCTAACCGAAAATGCGTTAGTTTTGAGTAGGGCGACTGCAGAAATTATAATTTTTATAGGCTTGTTTTAAAATAATTTCACTTACACATTTACGCTGGCTAACATATTTTTATTTTGTATTTAACTTTTATTTGAAAAAGTTGTTATTCTTAAAAAAAATTCTGGTTTGTGTATAATTTGCCGAATATTAATATTAGAGATGGTTCAGGTGTTGTTCTAGTTCCTTTAAATAAACTAGTACTACATTTTTTACCGTTCTAGCTCATGTTGAAGATGGGCTTTAACAAAACAAACTCAATAATTATTTATCCATAAGGTAGGGCAGCTGAAAAAAGAGAGTTTTTGTTTCCGTCGCATAAAAAAGTTATAAAGGCGAATACCGTTTTAAGAAATGAAAGTTACAAATTGAAACTAAAAACTATACGCGTGAGCCAAGTACAAAAAATTTGAGAGCGTAGTATGTTTTTATAGTGTATTGCTTATTGTAATGGACCAGACGTGTCCTACTCTGTTTCATAATTTAGAAAAAATTTTACACAGAATTGGGCAACTCTAGCCGTTACCTTGACGTAAAAAGGAAATAAGTAGCACCTTTTCAATCGATTACTACTCAAAAACATTTAGTGCCTTCGACAAAAGGAATTCCAAAACACCGGCGAATCTATGATGAATGTCAGTGGAAGCATTAATTAAAATCCACCTGCTAATTAAATGTAGAAGTAAAAAATTTTTGCCGACGGACAGTGCGTTCGTAAGCGTTTTCCTCAAAATTTGAGGTTAAACAATAAAATAATAGATCGTAGCTATTTTGACTTATTATTTAACCACTCAGATACCAGTAATATTCTTAAATAGACATACTTATACTTTTCATTTTAAAATCTGCCTGTGCAGAAATAAAAATAACAAAGATTTGATTGAACTAAAACATTTGCAGCCTCCAAATTGGAAACCGTTAAAGTTCTTGACGGCAAGCTACCTGCTCTTGTCCGTCGGTCTCTATTTTCAATTAACAAAATTCAAGGTTTTATCAAAAAGATTTAATAATTAACTATTTGTATGGTATTAACAGGCCTAAATCCTTAATCTGAATTAAAACATATAAATTTACTTTAGAGCGATGAGTTTATTTTGCTTTGTCTTGTGTATGGGCACAAACAGTTATTTTGCCAAAGGGTAGACTTAAAGATAGCCTTACTTTACTTTATCCATCCTAATACTATTACTCAATAAAACTTTTTACTTTTTTTTCAAAGTTTAGTTAAGTTTTCATTTACTTAAAGTTTCATGAATGTCTTGAACCCAGACAACCGAAATTCAGTTAAGTGTAGTGTTAATTCTAAGTCTCCATCTCGCGTAGTTCTTACGGTTTAGTTATTATAATATTAAGAAGAAGGGTATTACCAAAACTCTATTATTGAATTACATCGCCTCCCCGAGCAAGTAAGTTGCTTTAAGATTTTACATTCTTCTTATGCGCGGACATATTGTTAACCCTATAACTAATCAACTTGACTCCTGTGCGTGTACACGGAACTCTAGAACCTTACTTTTAAATAGCTATGTATTTATCCAAAAAAAACATTAGAGCTTACTAAGCTGAAATACAGAGCTAACAATAAAAAGAAACTGCTAATAAGTTTGTAGTTGTGAGTAACGTCCAAATACTTTAATAATAAAACATTAAATAAACTTATACCAAGTTGACTGTTTTATTAAATTGTTTTTCCAGTTAAACCTCTTAAGTAGCTTTAAAGTAACGCACACTTCCCTCGCTTTATGTGCAGTTTTGATAATAAGTTAGCACTTTTCCTTCGCAGTTACCCCGTTGCGGTGAGAATGACCCCCATCCGCGGCATGGCTCCGTTAATCAACTACATTTCATGGATTTGGCTTTTTTTCATTCTTTGCTTTACTTTATATTTTGCAAAAGTTTATTTTGTAGCCTCAACAAAACTTAAAGCACGTAAAGAACTAAAGTTTAAAAAATATATCGGTTTTTTTCATCCTTACAGCGAACATGGAGGGGGCGGTGAACGGGTATTATTGAATCGTTGTAGAAACATTTATATACTAAAGGATAAAGCCGTTACTTACTGTTCTTTTTTTTTAGGTTTTGTGGTGTGCGATATTTTATCTCCAAAACTTATATCCTGACTTGAAAATCGTTGTTTATACTGGTTGCTTTTTTATTATTATAAGCAAAAGTCCCTACACTAGCTGACTTTATTTTTAGAGGGAGACCATAGCAAAGAAACTATCGTTGACACCGTAAAACGGCAGTTTAATTTTAAGATAATAGGGAAAAATCTAAAATTTATTCATTTAAAAAGAACAAAGTGGATTGATCCGAAACGGTTTTTCTTAAAATTATTTATAATAATAACAAAATAATTTGATTCAAAAGTTTAATAACTACTTGCTCTTGTTATTACATGAACAATTACAAATTAATTTACCTTTAGCTATCGGTTTTTAACACTTCTATGTATTGCTCTTGGTTCCATCTACCTTGGCATTGAGGCCTTTGAAAAGTTTGTCCCCGATCTATTTGTAGATACGATAGGCTACGGTTTTGTGATACCTCTATTCAAAGTTATTCTAAATTAAATTAACTTTATTTTAGCTGTACTATAAAATTACATTATTAACTTAAATTAGAAATTCGGAAAGTGTAAAACTGCCGGCTACGTGCATTATCCTTTTATAAGTTTTGATATTGTTAAGAATTTACCTAAAAATCAAACCTTTCAAACGGTTTTAAAAGGGCTGTATTACAAGTAATTAAATTTTTTTAATTAATTTTTTAAAAACTTAATTTTTCTATATTTTTGTAGATTTTTAATATTTTTTTACCGTAAAGCGGGCTACTATTTTGACGAGGTTATGGTGAACTCCCGATGGACTTTTGAGCGGATGGAACTTTTATGGGAGCGCTCTCTAAGTCTTGGCCTTTAATTTTTTTTTGCATTTATCAAGTTATTTATTATATTTTTATATATATATATTAAAGTAACCTTAATTTTTTCTGCATCATTTACATTATAAAATTTATATTTGTTTATAAGTAGTTTTAATATTTTTTCTGTAATTAAATTATTCATAATATTTATATATACTTATTAGTTAAATTTATAATATTTATAATTATATTAATATTAGCCTGTTAATTTTCTCTCCAGTTTATTTAAAATATTTGTAATGTTTATATTTATAATTAAGTAGCCTTTAAATTTTTTTATCGTAGTAATTAAATTATTTATAATATTTATATTATATTAAAGTGCATTAACTAATTTATTTAGAATATTAATAACATTTATATAATTTAGCCTTTTAAATTTATTTATTGCTTTAATCAATTTAAATATATTTATAATTATAAAAATAACTTTTTTCTGCAGTAACTAAATTATTGATAATGTTAGTAATTATCCATTTACAGCTTTAATTATATTATTTTTACTTTACTGCTTTCATTTATTTAATCTATATTTTTTATACGTCAGTTATTGTAAAAAGAAAAATGTAAAAGAAATTTATCTTTTTATATAAATAAAAGTATTATAACATATAAATATTCATTTTATTAAAATCTCATTTTTTTTCTGTATTAATTAAATTTTTGATAATATTATTTTGCCCGTTGCTTCAATTAATTTATTTATCATAAATATAATTTTCTATAACTAGAATTAGTGCATCCTCCCTGCAGTACTGAGGCTTTCGGCCGATTACCTTTAAGCGAAAAGCAAGACAACACTATAATATCGCTTGCACAATTCCGTCCCGAAAAAAATCACGCGATGCAGGTTGGATCTTTTTTTTTAAATTTACTTCTTTTTTTAAATTTTTTTTTTTACAGCTTCATATACTTCGAAGATATTTTGATCTTTTTCCTGCAAGAGAGACGGCCGTCCGGTTAATTATCGTTGGAAGTTGTCGTAATGCTGGTGCATGAATTTTTTATATAAAATTTATTTAAATATAGAAGTTGCTTATGAAATGCTTTCGCCATTTTTGAATTAATTTTTATAATTTTTTTTTTTGATGGTTGCTGGTCTTTCATTTTTATTTAAATTTTATATTAAAAGTTGCTTATGTATTTCTTCTTTTGTATATTGTTAATTGTCTTTAATAAATTCGAATTATTTTTTATAATAAAAGTTGTTTGTGAATTCTTTCGCCGTGCTCGTTTTAAATTATAAATTTCATATTTGGAAGATTGTTTCTTGTCTTTCCTTTGTAAATTAACTTACATAATAAAAGTTACTTATAAATCCCTTTTGACTTTCTCGTATCGATTTCATTTGAATTTCTTCTCCGGATAATCTTTATTTGTCTTTAATTTATATTAATTTGTATAATAAGAGTTGTTTACGAATTGCTTTCGCCATTCTTTTATTTAAAATTTTAAAAAAAAATTTCAGATGATCTAAATTATTTAACGAGTCTAAAAGATTTAGCCTGGAGTCTTGGCCTCAACCACCGAGTCAACTTTATAGTAAATGTACTTATAAGTTTAATCGTTACTGGAGATTTTGCTCGATTTGTTTAATTGATTTTTTTATAGTTATCGTTTGGTAAAGTATTAGAGGAGCTGCAGAAGGCCGGAATTGGTTTACACACGATGCGAGACGAGCATTTCGGGATCGGGGTTGTGGAATTAATGCTGGCCGGTCGTTTAATTCTTCCGTCATTGATAGATTATTATAAAAAGAGGAGGAATTTGCTTTTTTAGGTGCGCTTAGAATTAATTGTCTCACTACTTTGAATCTAAATTCTATGAAATTTAAAATCGATTAAGAGCTAAAGATTATTAATTACAAAATATAATATTTTTTATTAAGCACCGATTAGAGTGCAGGATTGAGTAAATTTCATCATGGTATGCAAATATACGCACAAAGCGCAAAACCTTGAACTATTCCTATAAAAGTTATAATTTTTTAAAACAGAATAATTAGAGCTTCTACTTTCGTTAATTTTGATAAATCTTAATCAGTTATATTATTTAAATCGACGAGAGCTAGACTGGAAGAGCTTAGCATCTTTAACGCATTTCATCTAACTTGAGATTAAAAAATTAAAGAGCTACTAAAAATAAGATAGCATAATAAAATAAAAATTAGTCATAGGTGTTCTTTAATTTTTAGGGGTGATTCCTATAGCGCATAATTCTGGAGGCCCTCGGGACGATATAATTAAGGAAGACGTTGGTGGGTCTACTTATAATAAATTTCATAATAATTTCACTTAAATTTTATTTTGAAGGATTTTTGGCATCTGACGTTGATGAATACGTTGAAAAGCTCGACCATATATTCCGGCTTCAACCATCTCAACGCACAACTTTGAGAATTTCAGCACGGCTAAGCGCTAGACGTTTCTCGGAAGATAACTTTCAGAAAGCTTTTCTTGATTGTCTTAACGGATTACTTTAAAGTTTATGAAGAAATTTGTTTAATAAATAAATTTATCAAGTTTATAAAATAATTTCGGTTATTATTTAATGTTATTTTTTCTAAATTTTTTTTTACTTTATATAAATTTATGAGCTGGCAATCATTTTAATTATAAAATATTACTTACAAGCTTGTTAAAATAAAGAAGAGTAAATAAAATTTCATTAGAAGCCGGTTATTCATTTCTTTTTGCTACACATTCAATTGTTCTTGCAAATTCTTTTTAAATTCCCATTAGAAACCATATAAACTACCCGAAAAACTTTTAGAGTTTTTACTTAATAATTAAAAAAGTTTTATTAAATTTTAGTAAGTATTGAATATCGCTTATTTGCGCTACCATACTACGTTCTTATATGAAAACTTAAACAGTTATTTCTGTTTTTTCTAGTCCTTTTTTTTTAAGTTTTCTTAAAGAAGTATTTATACTATCATAAAACCCATTTACAAAACTTTTATTCTTACTGACTAAATAAAAAGAAAGGGTTTCTTAGAGCAACCTAAACGCCGATTATCAATTTTTGCGCTATCATAATAACGTACACTTTAATTTTTTTAGTTTTTCCTTTTAAGTTCTTTTAAGGGGCATAGAAACTACCACAAAAACTTTTACCCGAAGAGAAGGGTGCTATTTTATCTTACTACCGAACCAAATGTACGCAGACTGTCTGGTGAAATTATTTCCTTATAAAGTAAAGGGTGCTACAATCAAGTTGTAAGCCCTTTTTATTTTTTAATCTTTACATCCCCGAAGAGTATACAAGCCAGAAGAATGTGTTTAGTTATAGGAGATCGGCGGGTATGATTATTTAATTAAAAAAGAAAATTTAAATCAATCAGCGGTTTAAACGTTTTAAAGAAACTTTGCACAAGTTTTTTTTATTAAACAAAAAGGTTTTAAAGATTTATTCGATGTTAATAAATAAAAACAAACCCGGACTCGAAATGCTTTATATAAGTGAACTTTCAACGCAGAAAAAGGGTTATATATTATAAATCTAAAAAGACTTGGACATTTATCTCCCCTTCCTAACATTTTTTCAGCAGTCTATATACCCCACTTAGTTTACTATAAATAAAAAAATAAATTATGGCTCATATTTAAGTTTAATCTAAATATATTAAAGCTATAACTTATAAGTACAAGGCAATTGCTGCTTGTTTTTCCCTTAAGTTAATACTTTTTCTTGAAAAAATGTGTAAGGTAGTAAAAAACTTTATATTGATAAGGTGGTCTAAGAGAATTGTTTTTAGCATAATTTTTTTTTAACTAATATATAAATAACTATAGTTTAGTATTGTGAGGTAAACCGTAAGTAGGGATACTAACTATTATTCTTCAACGTACTTGCGTTTATATCTTAGGCAACCTAACTTATTTAATAAGCTTAATAACTAATAGTTGTACGGCTCTAAAAATTTATTTAAAATAAAAAAAGTAGATAAAATTTTTTATTAAAATAATCATAAATCTAGATTATCTAAGGCGGTTACAAAGAGTAAATAATATGTCCTGTAAAGTAATATCCTAAAGAAAGAGCTTATAGCTCGAAAAAATTTTCAAAAAACGCGAGTCGGGTGGTATGGGGCGCTGTTCCTCATGGAAGAGAAGAATACTACCTACCTACTAGTCTTTACAGTTCATTTTTTTAAGTATGAACAGGCGCAACCGAAACCGAACTGGAGTTTCCTATAACCCCCTTGCGCCTTTTAACGTTTTGTATAAAGAAAAATTGTAGGTGCATTGGGTTATTCATCCATTCTTCGTTTTACGCTTTTATGGATTCCTTAAACGTAGAGGAGTCGATAAAGATTTTTTAGAAATTGGGAGAGAAAGTCGAAAATTATTACAAGAAGGATTCGACTTTATTTTTCGGTTTAAACTAAAACCGGATTCAACGACAGTAAATCATTTCTTTTGAAAAGAAAACTGTAAAAATGTTATTATTTTTGATTACAGGAAGTTAATGCTTTATTTACAAACGATATAACTTGGAATATACGTAGACAGAGTGTAACTTTTGACAGAACAGGCACCGGTTTAGCTAGTGTAAGGTTAACTTGGCTAAGTTATCTTTAGCCAAGCCACTTTTTCTTTATTATTTTTGTAATTAAAATCCTTACCTTTTTCATTCTATTTAGTTAACTTGTATTGCCTTGTTACAATTAGATTACCTTATAAATGTAATTTGAAAAGTTTTTTATAATTTTTTTTTATAAGGCTAAAAGACGATTTCTTTCTTTTTGTCACCGAACTTTCGACTTTTCACTTTGGTTATATACTTTACAATTAATATTTTTAATTTATTTTATTCCGAGATTATTTTTTAGGTAAAGCAAGCGCTTATATACGTTTGGGAAGAAAAGATAAATTTTTCTTTTGCGATGTAAATACGGTTCTGGATGCTGACACTTTTGCGCCATCTACTAAATTCGGCTGTAATTCTCAAATATACATAATCTTTGCTTTCGGATAATATATTTCTTTAAGGCTTTTATAGTAATAAAATTGCTTGTGGAAATGCCTACTTGGATTTTATGAGAAATTATTCTTTGGGTGGTGAGTGCTGTACTTAATTTTTAAATTATTATATTTATATTTAATTTAAATCTTAAAATAAATATTGTATATGGCTTTTTTTAACTTTCTGCTTTTATAAGCAAAACTTTATCATATTTTATTTTGAACTAACCGTAATAATTAATTTTTTTTTTTATAAATTATTTTAATTAAACTTATAGGCACTTTTGTCATAAAGCCGAATAATTCCATAAGTGTCGGTGTTCGAAGCGAACCTCTTCATGATCGTCGCTCGCTTGAAGTCCGATTGGAGCATCACGGTAAATTTCATCGTCTGCGCACTGGTCAGGTATACACAATATTATTGGCTTATCTTTTTTCCTTAAATTTAATTTATTTTTACATATTTTAATTACAATATTATTGGCTCATCTCATTTTTAAGTTCGATTTTATTTATACAGATTTTAAGAAACAACTATAATTGGCTCTTTTTTATTCCTTAATCCTATTTTATTTTTTTTACGAAAATTATTGACTCAATTTTTTCTTTCATCTGATATTTTATTTATAAAAATTCCGATACACAAACATTATCGGCTTATCTTTTCATCCTGATTTCCATTTTTTCTTTTTACCAAATCCAAATGCTGCAGGACTACTGCTTGAGTTTCTGCGGTGATGTTTCCGGCCGTTTCCTCTCCGCCGCTTATGTCCAGTCCATGCTCTTACCGTTCGACCGATCCCTACACCGATTATTTTTGGGTTTCTCCTTTGTCGTGCCGCTCGCACAGCTCTTTTTTAACTTAAATTTTTAATTTTTTAATTTTTTTTAAGGTGGTGATTTTTCCCACCAATCAGATCGACCTCTATTTTTTTTTCCGGGCTTAGAAAGTGGGAAAGGGTCTTCTTGTTCCGGCCTTGCGCTGCCTTTTTATAAAAAAAATCCCACCAATGTCTTAACGGTGGGCGCTTTATGGCAGCCGCTGGGAAATTTAGCATTGAAATTAATATTAGATTCTCGAGGCATTAATTTACTTTTTCTAATTTCAACTTGATTTTTAGTTATTACTTATAATATGAAAGGGGTTTGCGGTGCACTGGTCGCCTTGCGATCGCGCTGGTCCTCTACAACTTTTACATTGGCTGGATCAACTCAGTATAGTGTTGTGGAGCGAAGCTCTCTTAAACTTGGCTGCTTTTTGTCAATAGACAGCTCGTAGAAATTTTTAAAATTTTGTTATCTGCAAAAAAATTTAACATTCTCTATTTAACTATTAATAAAACTTTTAAAAGATTTATTTGTAAAGTTTGAACGTTATTATTAGAGAGGCACATTTTTTTTAAGTTCGTGTACAATTAGGAGTAATTTAGTTTGGCGGAGCTCTAATTTAAAATAACTTTGAGATTGACTGAGAATAATAAAGTTTTTATTTTTTTTAAGCAGGGAACGTTTAGTTTAAATATAGTTTTGGTATATTAATATAATACAAAGTTTTAGCATTAGCGTTTATTAGTCTAAAGTTTACCAAGTACGAGAATCTATAATTTTTTTATAAAATTTGTCATTCACACAAGCTGAGCGCATCTTATAAATTTAAAGCACTAAAAGCATTTTAACAAAAATGAGACGTTATAAACATCTAAAAAAAAGTTATAAATAGCAAACTTTCGCCGTTTAAAGCTAACTTTCTTATATTACGACTCTATAGAATTCGAGAAGAAGTAATTTAGTAGTAATTATCAATTAAATCTCTCATAAATTAGTAATAAAAATATTTTTTAAAGCGGTTAACTGCTCTATCTAATATGATAAACGAATTAAGATGAAACTGTTGTCAATGTTATTCTTAAATAAAACCGAATTACTCATAAAAAGAACAGCCAAGACGAAGCCGTTGTGAAAACTTTTACAACCAACTTATATACGTTCCTTTCGTTCTGAGGTTTAAAAAAGTTTTGAAAAACTTAACTTTTTATATTAGTAACAAAGAGGAGGGGAGTATAAAGAAGAGTACTTATTAATAAACTATAGTAAACAAAAAATGTGCTCATCATAAACCTTTTTGCAGAATGCTGACCACTTATAGAAGAGTTTTCTATTAAAAAAAAGTTTTTTTACTGTACTATTATGTAATTTATTATTATTATTTAAATGTACTAAATATTAGAAGGTTTCAATAAAGCCTTCGTGTATTCGTCTGACACAGTCACCTTTCATCCTTATTTTTCTTTTAAAAAAAGAGAAACAAAGTATTCCATTGTTTTCTGAGACAAAACGTAGTCAGGTTTTAAGGAAGTTGCGTCTCTCACACGTTGCAACCTTTCTTCATAGTAAATTCCAGATTATTGTCCTTCTCAGTTTAATAGACTAGCCGCTATCTTTAGGGGATAGTATGCCAGGGATGCGAAATAATAAAGGACTTATTATTATTCACTTTATTTTTAATAGTCTACAACTTTTATTGTTTTTTAAGTCCTAATGCATAATTTACAACACTGTACCGCGCTACAAGAAAAAAAACTTAATTCTATGAGGGGAATAGCCCCTGAAGAAGAGCACCCACTCGAAAGGGATTGCTCTTTAGCGCCCTCTGTCAAAGTTATACTTAAACGTTCATATACCCAAATATATTACTTTTTATTAAAACCTAATCCGTACTGCAGGAAAAAGAACTTAATTTTATAAAGAGTCACTATTAACTGATAAGGCATAACTAAAGGTAACTATAGCTAAATTGATTTTTTATTATTTTTTATACTAATAGCACTGACTGGCCACACGCGTGATTGACAGTTAGTCGCTCTACAGAGTAAAGATGAATAAACATCATAACTTTCTTAGCGAGAGCGCTCTTCTAATTTCAGTTAAGTAGTAAAGGTATCAGGAAACAGCTAAAAATAAGGACAATAAAACTAGATGTAAATCAGCATATTAAGATTTAATACAATTATAGATTAATGTAACGTAGCATAATTTAGCTACATTTCCTTAAACAAAGTTATGAATTGTAATGGTAGGGAGTGTACTAGTGAGAGTCGTAAATTAGAGTTAGACTTACTAAATCATTGTGGAAAAAACTGGTCCTACTTAGCATTTCGTAAAATTTATGTAAACAATCTTAAATAGACCACTAGGTTAAATAACCTATAAGGGATCATTTACTTCGTCAAAGATAACAAAGAAACTAAGAATAAAGACAAGATACAGGCTAGAATAAAGAGCTAAAACCTCTTTACTTTTAGACAATAACCAAATCCAAGCTTTCTACGCAGAATGCGCACGTGCCTCAATATAGTTAGAATTCTCACATTTATACAGTGTGGTTCACTCAGTGGAATTGTATATGTTGCCCAGAAACTAAGAATTATCCACCCCCACTTTCAGAACGCGATTTGTAGAGTTTAGAGTCGTTTTAATATGCTTTTTAAAGGATTTTATGTAGGCCATAGAGGCTTAAACCATCAGCATCGTACAAGCAATTTATGTAAACATGCTTGTTTTTTTTTATTTTTTCCTACATAATAAAGAGTAAAAAGGCTATGTAATAACCTGGGAATTATGTGGATTTTAGCTTAGTCTGTCCTCAATTATTAGTCCTAGATAGCTTAACAGATAATAATTATAGAAAAAATAATTAAAACAGATCTCTTTTATAACGTAGTGTGGGGTAATTTTAATTAAATGCGCAACTAAGATAGAGGGTTAGTATACGAAACAGAAAGCATTCTAAAGATCGACCTGCACTATTTTTAATAAATTACAAACATCTATAACAAACAGCGTGGACAAGGGCGTGAAAAGGAACAAAGGAACCTGGAGAGCAGCAAAAAAGTTTAGGTTTATTAATATTACCACCAATTTTAGCTAGTGCTGGGTACTCTCTAACGCAGACTACTTAATATGGTTAATGAAATTGATAACGTATTTAAAGACTTAATTTTAATTTAGATCGCATACAGCGTTTCTTCTATTTAAAAGTTTTTAAAAATTATACACTCATAGAGCGTCCAGGTTGGTTGTGACTTTAGCATTTCTGGAAGACATGTAAGTTTCTGTATCCAGGAATAGTGTCCGGTGAATTCCCGGCACACTCATTATAAGTAGCGGCTGCACTCAAAAAAAAAGAGCTGTGCAATGAGATCTTTAGATGCTACGGCGCGCCAGTCACCAATCCAGCTACTTGTTTTTTCGCCCAAAATAAGAAAGTGTTCGCTATTATAGACCGTACACTCATGTGTAAGCGCAATTTGTATACGAACACCTTGCTTTTTGCGCACATCAGCGGGTAGCGCGCCTGTACCGCCCTCTTGACTTTCCCACAAGATGTGCGTCGTGTTTGTCCCCACGACAGCTTCTCATCGAAAATTATATTGGGGTGTTTTGCTCTAAGGCCTTATAAAACTCTCCTGGTGCGGCGTTGACACCAAAGGTGCAACGTTCAGCACTGACAAGAAAAGTTAGCCCCGCGGATCCCTCGGGGATAGCGGGTGTACTGAGTACTGCGCGGTGGTGACACGAACAACAAAGGCGCAACAAGTGCTCAGGAAGCCCTACGTACGCGGATTGTTAATAAGGCCTTCGTGCCAAACACGAATGAAGGTCTTTTTTACAATGTCTAGAAAGACGTTTCCCGAAAACTTTTCGAAGTTAAAGTATGTATTGTCCGCTAATCGCGATGTAAGAGCAACTGTGATTTAGAGTGACCTCGCCTGAATCCAAATTCGAATTTTCGAAATACTTCTCGCGTTACTAAAACGCCCTAAAGATGGCGCAGAAGAAACCTTCCCCACCGCTGAGAGCAGGGTGCGGCGGTGTTCGGAAAGCACCTTTATAGTGGCTGTTTCAAGCGTTTACGCGTGGAGTCGAGCGCCACCGGCAATATCTGTTTCAACACCTCTTTAGTGGTTTATCGTCAATAATAAATGCTTTATCGCTTTTTGTCAGTCACCTCATTTCGTTTAATGAGGTTGTTGGTAATAAATTTTAATTCAATTGACAAAGCGCAAAAAGATGGCCGTTCTTCTTCGTCCGCTCAGTTCCTCCACAAATTGACTATTGTAAAGTGCAGTTAGCCCTTCCCTGATATATCTACAAGAGGAAATGATATCAGTTTGTCGTTAAAACTTAGCGAAGCAGCGGCCAAAGCATCTCATCCTCCGGCTTTGACGAATCAGATTTATTAAATGGTCCCATTTACGAACAGAGCGATACACGATATTGACACGAGGTCTTTACGGCGGCATGAGGAGAAGATGCCGCTCAGTCAAACGGGACGGATTTTGTATTTTGACGCTTTAACTGTAGCTGTAAAATTGTCCACTCTAAGAATTTGCAAGACCTGGGCCTTGCTATAATCTTGCCTTCACTCACATAGAGCAGGACGGGCAGGTCATCCGATGTGACTTTGTCCAGCGCTTCGACCGCTCGTGGCGTCGAACGTTTAATTTCTTTCACACATTTTAGATTACTTTTTTTACACTTCCTCCAGGTAGGTTATACCTGTTTAAGTGTTATTTTATTAGCGCTTATATTTAAACTTTTATTCGAATTCTGCTAACTAATAAGCTATGAAACTTCGGCAGCTTTTTTGTTTTGTAAGTAATTATTAGTGAGTAAAATAAAATTTACGTTCTGAGTTAAAGGTTTCGCCTGCCGTGGGTTATCTAAATTTAGGAATATTAATTGTGTTTTATTTTATATGACGAGTTAATTTTGAATTTTAATTTAATTCGCACTTCCTCTATTTCTCCGTCATGAACAAATGAAAAACGCGCCTTTAGAAATTAAGGAATAGTTACTGAAATTGAGTCTTTAAGATTGTAAATAACCCAATTGTCTCTCGTGACCGCGGCTGGTGGCTTAAATAATAACTACTTCATATTAATATCGAATCTTTGGCTTCAAACAATTCAGTTATTGAAACTCAAGTAACTTTTTGCCAGTTATTTAAAAAGTAGCACTATAAATTTTGGGATTTATTCGTTCTTTAACAATATTAAAAAAAACTTTCCTGAATATGGATATGTCAGCCTCATTCAAGCTATTGCCATCACCTTTAACCTTGCTAACCTCTAAATCTCAGCGTATAAGTTAGTTAGTATTAGAATATAAAACTGCTAAGTCGTTAAACATTTTTATAAGAATTATACCATTTAAGACGTCTCTTAAACAATTGTCATAGATTTTTTAATTCGCAGGAAGAAGTTATAACCTGAAGTTACCTATCGCGAATAAATTAAATTCCTTCAAGAGGGCAATGGCACGCATGTTAAAAATTTGCGTAGCCCTCTGTTATAACTACACAAAAATTTTCCAAGTAATAGGCTATAAAAATTGCAAGCCATATTAAATTAGAGATCACGATGGAGGGATAACAACGAGCTTGCATTTACGATAATGCAAAAAGGATTAAGAGTAAATCTTTTTCCACGAGTGAACAACTAAAATTACAAATTAGTTTACATGATAAAAAAGTACTTTTTATAAATAAATTTTTTTATTATTAGTTGCTGCTATTTATAAAAAAATTCCGAGCCCTTACTGGTCGATTGAAAGCGCAGCAAAACCAATCAACGCCTTCTTATCCGCCACTGCTTCATTACTTTTCTTGACCTCAAACACCATTGGATGGGGGTGCTTAATAAAAAACTGCAACGACGAGCACACCGCAGCCTCGTCTTCCTCAGCCACGAGGCCGTGCTGGCGTAAAACGAGGAAAATCAGCTACAAAAAAGCATTACTGTAAAAATAAAAACCTCTACAAGTTCAGCTGCCACAGCTTTCGGTGTGTCACTTTCAAGTTTGAAAGGAAAGCTATATTAAAAAAATTTTTAATAAAAAAAATTGAGAGAAAATGTAGCAGAACCGGATATCATTAAGAACGCCCGATTTGCTTCTGGTGCGAAGTTTCAGATTTAACGTGCCCGACCGCGGAGGAGCGGAGGCGACCAGCGTGGAAGTGTCGTAGTCCCACCCAGCTGAGCAAAAAAAAAACAATGAATTAATTTTTAAGTTAAAAAGAACATGAAGCAAAGAAAAAACCCTCTTCTTCGCTAATGGTTTTGCTTACACCGTTTCTTCCAATTGCCGAAAGACCTTTACTCTTCCGCCGCTCGGACAATGGAGGAAGTTTGGATATCAGGCTCTGTACTATGTAGTCCGGACCTTTAGCTTTTTTAAAAAAGTCGTGCTTTAGAAGCTCATCAGCTGTGGGTCTAACAAAATAAGTTTTATTAAAACTGTAAAATTTTTATAATTTAAATTTTTTATATGAAAAATTAATTTTTACACAAAAAAAAAAAATTAAAATTTAATATAGAAAAGAAAACCTCTTTGTAGGATCCTTCCGAAGACACTCGTCTATCATCTTTTTAAAGGATTTCGAATAGCCCGAAGAGCCTTTGACCTCCAATGTGGGCGACGGGTTGTTCAGAACCGCAATCATCACCTGCCATAAAATGCACCAATCATTGTAAAGAACAGGCAGAGGCAATGTGGCATCCGGCAACCTTGGCGGCAGGCAAATGGGAGTAAGGCGCCCGGCCAGTGGCGAGTTCAATGGCGGTGATGCCGAAACTCCATATGTCTGCCTTGTGGTTGTATCCTGTAGTCTTTAAAAAACGTTTTTAGTAAAAAGTAATTATTTATTTATTTAGTTTTTCAAGTAATTATAAAGTTGAATAACCAAATATTAACAAAGTCAAAACTAATTAATATAGTAAAAAAGTAATTTTTTTTAATCAAAGCTTCTTTAGTATCAAAATATATAAAACAATTATAATTCTAACAAAGTAAAAACTTATTATTATAGTAAAAAAGTAAATTATTTTTAAATTTAAAATTTTTTTTCTTAAAAATAAAATTAAAAATAAATAATATTAATGAAGTAAAATTTTAAATTAAATAAATGTCATAGTAAATATTGGTAAGAAAAGTATGAAATGTGAGCAACGCTACCTGCTCTATTACTTCGGGAGCCATCCAGCAGGGTGTCCCTGCAAAAGTTTTTCTAGTCTCGTTCGGAAGCGAAAGGCACGAGCTGACACCAAAATCCGCTGGAATTTATATTAAAGTATAAAGTTCATCAAAAATTTAGAGTTTCTCCTCAGCACACGCAAAAAAAAGCACCGAGCTGTACGGTACCGTCAGTGTCGATGAGTATATTTCCGGCTTTGACATCTCTACTTAAAATTTTTTTAAAAATATTAATTAACACATTAGAAAAAAAATTAAAACAAATTAATAGAAGTTAAAGAAAGTTTAATTATTTTAATAATTAAATTTATTATAGAATTTAATTTAGCCGTTAAAAATATTATATATTTTATATAATATCGCATACTCATTGAAATTATATTTATATATTATACATATGCGGACCTGTGAATGTGTCCGTTAGCATGAAAATAGCTCAAAGCCTTTAAAACCTCTTTAAGGATGGTTGCCATTGCGACTTCTTCAATACCATTTCTTTCCGAAAAGTTCATAATGTCTAGTACAGAGCCTGTTAATAATAACAATTACCTAAAATTAAGAAAAATATTACTAGAAAAAGATAAATTACCTCCATCTAATAATCTCATGACTAACCACAACTCCATATCATCCAAAAAAGAAGAATAATACTGAACGACGTTTGGATGCGAGCAGCGAATCATAACCGCAATTTCGTTCTATCATAGCTTACGTAAAATCGAATATAACTATCTTAAAAAACTTTGAAGACCTGAACTTCTTTAATATTATTTTCATAACCTTCTAAATTAACGATTTTAACGGCAACAGTAGAATTAAACGGTTTATATCTTGCTAAAAATTGAAAGCGAGTAAGAAAATATAAGTGTTGGTTGTGAAAGCAACACCTATATACACAATTGCAGTGGCGCCTCGTCCAATTTCTCCTACTAATTCATAATCGTCGATATTATTAGAGTATGAGCCGATTGAAGGATAATTTTGTTTATCCTTTCCACTTTTATTAACTCATATTTATATTTATTAAACATGTGAAAAATTAAAAAGTAAAGAACCTTGCTTTTAGAAGCATTTTTTTATGTATATAAAGTATAAATTTCGTGATAGTAAAAATTCAAATTATATGATATATATCAGTTGTGCTAATATATCTAAAACAGAGGAGAGTTTTTTAAATAACTACTTATTTTAATATTCGGTGAATAATTATATTGGACTAAAGTATAACTGCCGTTAGATAAAAGAGGTGTCGTTAATTTCAATAAACTATTCATGCGTGACAGAATAAAAATAATTTTTCTAGTAAAAATGCAATAAACTCCGCAGTTTCTATCACACCAAGTACAGAGCAAGAGCGTTTAAATAGGATTTTATTTTACCTGTTCCGTAGTTTTAAGTTTTACTTTGATTGCAAGTGGTGCGTGAGCATCATTCATTGGTTAAAACTATTAAGAAAAATTACTTAAACGGACTTTAACAGGCTGGTGATGTTAAAAAAGATGAAAAACACAAATTTACTTTTACTTTTAAGGATTCTTGTAAAAAAGGACGGTAACGTATATGACTAAAATCATAAATTTTCATTGAAGTTTTTCAATTTTATTTAATTGTACAAACGTGCAAGGGTTAATCACTAATCGAAAATTTATGAAAAATACTTAAACGGATAAATCGACTGGTGTTGTACGAAAGTATGGAATATCACTAACAAAGTTTCTTGTAATGACTCTTGTAAATAATATATATATATGTGGTTAAAAATAATAGAATACTCATAATCAGCTATTAGCCCACTCCCCAGCTGTTCATGAACGAAGGTTTCAGAGCAGGTTTTTCGATTAATATTGAGGCTTGTCTCCAAATTAGTTTTTGTATACTACTCAAAATGGGAAGCAAAACCAACGAGAAAATTGTAAATAACAGTTTTGCGTTTATTAGCATGGCTCTAAAAAAAAGCTTTAAACTTTTATAAGCGGTTCCCTTGTTTACAGGAGGCTAAAAAAAAATTAAATACACGGTATACTAAACTAAAACTAATATATTGCATATTTTCTACATTTATAATAATTAAAGAGAAGTTAACAAATAAATTTTAAAAAAAAATGAGTCTCAACATGTTTTAAAAATTGAAAATTTCCAATATATACTTTGTGTTAACTTTTTAATGATAAGCTATTGTGGTTTCAATAAACAAAAATTATAAACTTACAGGATTTTTTAAAGTTAATATAACATTCAATAAAAAATTGGTCTTCTGTGTTATATATTACAAACATGCAAAAAGTTAAAAATTTTTTAACTTTAGTTATTTATTGGTCTTCTTTGATGTAATTATTTAAAAAGTCAACTATAGTGCATTATTACCTCGTAACTAATCAACAGACAGCTACGCTCCTCCTAAACACTGGACAAACAATGTTACGTTGGTCGTCTCACTCTATATCATACCACAAGCATCTTAACGCACTTAAATTGCATTTATTCTAATTGCCTATCATCTTTCACTACTATATTTTCTTTAATTACAAAGACAACAACTAACGCTTAGTATTTTGCATTTTTCACGTTTATTAAGGTAATAACCATGTTAACAATTCCCAACTGCCTTTTCTTATAATTCTTTCGTTTAACTTATATCGTTTCTTAAGTAACAAGTTTAAAAGAAATGAGCAAAAATAAAATTTTTTATTAAACTTCTTACCTTTACCTCGGTAAACACGCAACCACGGTACTATAAATATTTCTTAATCGTGCGTTATAATAATTATAACCTATGACACTGATTGGTCTTCATTAACATTTTAAGATTTAAACTTACATATATGCCAGAATAAACTTTTCATACTTAAAAAAAGATCTATTACAGTTAAATGGTATTTAGTGGTATCAAATGGAAGTACAATGTTTTTTTTTTGACAATACAACAACAT